GACTATCTGAAGTCTACCTAAGGCATCAAAAACATTTTCTAGTTTTGACCTCATCTTAAGTGCTATGGAAAAGATGAGGACCTTAATCTAAATGTTTTTATGGTTCTCTTATTTCTGCCTGAAATGAAAGGCCTGTGGCAAGATCTACCACTAGTGAGTACTCAAGATTCACTTGGATGCCTAAAATTCAACAATCAGTGAGAAATGTGGACAATTTATACTGCACATAAGTATTATCCATCTTCAAAACTAAGGAAACTGCATCATTTTGTACATTCACACTGAAAGGCATAAAGCTGCAAGAAAATTTGACATAATTCTCTAAGTATTTAAAAGTGCCCACAGAAATTCTATGACTAGGCTTTTATCAGGCTATCTTATACTTCAGCACCAGCTCGAATCAGAGTGACAGGTTTGCAAACATCAGCAGAAATTCACTAGAGAAGCAATATCCTGTGGTGCCACATAACTACAACAAAGAGTGTTTTGCCTGAAATTAATGCAGTTGTTTTTCTTATCGTGGACAATCTTCAGAAAGAACAATGTATTGCAGAAAAGATTCCTCCAAACTGAGCCTATTTTTGTTGTTCCTCTCAACATGATGGCTTGCAATTATCTAACTGCATTGTATGAAGGCTTTTCTGCTTAGAGGGTTTTGGGTTTTTTTTTTTCAATGTGGAAAGTTTCCCCAGGGGAAACAATAAGTACTGCACAGTTTACACTTGGAAGTCTAGACTGGCAGTGAATTAACATAAGTTACATTCTATTAGAATACAATGGGAAGCCTTTAATTGTTATTTTAGTTTTTTTTTTTTTCCATTTTTATTAGCATAGTAACTAACCACTGACAACATTTTGGGGTGCATTTCTCCAGACAGCAGAAGCACACAAGTGTGAAGAGTCTGGCAATGAAAATGGAAGGTACTCTGTACCAAACTGTACAAATCACAAGTACTCAAATCAAGACCAAAACTCCCTCTGACTTACACAAAAGGTTGATCCTATCCCTAATTACTTTGTTGGAATGCACAGAAACATTCATCTCAAACATCATCATTCAGTATTGACAGAACTAAAGCAAACAAGGGCACAGAAAGCTTGGAAAATATCCTCAAAGAGAAACTCCTCTTATAAATCTGCTTGTCTAATATGACAGGTGTTTTTCAAAAGGTTAAAACTTTAAGGCTGTGGAGGATCATCATAATTATATGGCAACAGACACAAACTGAAACACAGAAGGTTCTGTCTGAATGTCAGGAAACACTTTTTCACTATGAGGGTGACTGAGCACTGGCCTAAGTTGCCCACAGCAGCTGTGGAGTCTCCATTCTTGGAGGTATGAAAAAGCCACCTGGACACAGTCCTGGGAAAATGTCTCTAGGTGGTCCAGCCTGAGCAGGGAGTTTGGACCAGGCAACCTTCAGAGGTCCCTGGCAACCTCAACCCTTCTGTGATTCTGTGACATTCTAAATGGCACTTTCTTGGTTCTTACCTCCCTTTGAATCTTACCTCCTTCTTATCAGGAACTTATGTATAATATTCAGAACCTGCCTGATAACATCTAGGACTGAGTATTTTGCAACTGGACACAATTTTAGCTAGAGCACCCTCAGATACACTTATTATAATAGTATTTAATATGTAAATTTATCCTAAGAACATTTGGATTCATACACTGCACCATCAGGCAATTACTGGTATCAGCTTCATCACCTTGCTTATTTTACTTTGTGCTTATGTGAAACACATCTAATAGATAAGACTGTCAAACATTTGATGGTTCATTCTTAATGATTTCTAACAAATGAGTCCCCTAAATTGACTAAGGCTACAGGTTAGAAAAAGACAACTGTGGAGGGAGGTGACAGAAATACAGCAAGACAGAGTAGCACAAAGAGGTTAAGTAGGAAATAATATTTCATGTTCTCTTTCAACACAAGAGCTGGAGTTACTAAGTGAAGCAAAACCAAAAGGAGCTGGTTTTTCAGAGAGCACCCAGTTGAACCATGCACTTCCCTCCTGCAGGAAATGTTGTGAATAACAACATTTTACATCAACTTGACAAATTCATGCCAGAAAAATCTACTGAGGTCTATTAAATACAAAGACAGTAGCTACGGCTCAGTAAGTCCTTAGTACATCCACAAACAGGGGATGAAACTCCTCTACAGTATCATGACACAACTGCATAACCTGTTCTTCCCTAAGTCCATGCTAACAGTCACTATGTAAAACAGGGTAGTACCTTAAATTCATTTTTCATTTGATCCACGACTGCCATTCCCATGTATTTATTCCAAAGCTAAAATTTTGTCCATAATCACTCATGAAAAGTAAAACTAAATTAAGATTCAGATTCACTTTCCTAGTATGTTTCACTCTGTGACTATTTAAAGCGTGTATCTATGATCTACAGAATCTTTAATTTTTAAGGGGTTTAGATACTCAGAGTTGAGAATCTAACCCTTAACCAAGGGTGATGAAAAATACATTGTAAATATGGGGACACAGGTTCTGGAAAAACATGACAGAATGATTTTTATATTGAGAATGGTAAGGAAAACAAGATACTTCACCTTCAGAGGCCTGCAGACTCCTTCTGTAATGTGTCCAACTACTTCTTGAATATTTTCTTCCACACCTACAGTTAATGCAAACACATGCTAAGATTATGCAAATGTAATTCTCTTTTCTTTAAGACTATAAAACAAGTAAACAAATGCAGGAGCTACTCCTCCATAAAAAGCATTATGAACTGTACATTCTTTTTCTCCACAAGACTAGTTTACACTTCCACTGAACTTCATATTTAGCCATTAAGGAATAGCTGCATGACAGAACAGAGTCCTGGAGAATCATGACCTTATGCTCTGCAACTGCTTCCTAGCACAACATAATGCCTGGGAATTTGAGGGAGGAGGAGCAAGGGGAAGAATAAATGGTCTAGCAAAAAAATGGAAATAAAACAGGAGAAAAAAAAAAGGCCAGGGAGGTGCTCAAGAAGCAACAGTATGTACCATTTGGAAAGGCCTGACTCATAAATATGTGTGTTAGCAGTCAGCACTGACAAATTAAACCACGTTCTGTGCCTCCCCGGCGCCGTGTGCTGCAGCATTAGCAAAACCATCCTGCCCTGGCAGCAGCTCAAACTCACCCCTCACACAACGACACACAAAGGAGGAGAAGAGAATACTGCCCCAGCTTCTCGTGGAACACAAGTGAATTGTTGCATGGCAACCAGTACTGTCATAAATCAATCAAACTGAAAGCACCAGATCTTCAAGCTCTCACTTCGGTAACAACTCGGAATAGATTTATGTAGAAAGCAATACTTTAATTCTAATTTAAAACTTGTCAACAGGAGTTCATCTTCAGATGGAACCCATGCAATGAACAGTAAACAAATTGACTGTGGCACATGATAGAAACCAGGTGACCTGAAGCTATATTTTGCAGATCTTATTTCAGACTGGAAAAGATTACCTCTGAGAGTAAGAATGATAAAAGATCAAGAGATCTGTGCCAATGTCTCTTTACAGCAAGACATGTGAAAAGTCACAGAAGCAGGAACAACTGAATTCAGCATGGTGGCTCTAAGAATTTCAGTGCACTAATTCTGTTAGCACCCTAAATTGGTAAGGTAATAAAAATATGTTTATATATTTGAGTATTGGTATCAAGGGAGGAAGCAAGATTACAAACCACAAGATGTATGGTCTGTTATGTAACAGCTCCCTGATACACCCCAACAATTTACACATTTTTTAGCTGGAGTACTCACACTTCTACTGTTCATCAACATATCAAGCACCTAGCACATATTTGCAACAGCATATCTAGACCAGATTGACTTAACAACAAGTTGTTGGGTATGAAAGTTTTAGCTGCAAAAATATAAAAGTTCAAATACCAAAACACATGGAAGTACAATCTTGATATATCACGTTTGTTCCTTCACATGTATTTTCATGTCAAATTAGGATATTTTAGATTCAGCAAACATTAGAAGGAAATCTCCTGTCACAATGGGATGTATGACTGTGGCAAGTATTAGTATGTCATACTGATATAAAAGGTTTATGGAATAAATAATTCTTAGAGATCCCAAATCACTCTTAGAAATGAAGATACGCCTCTGGCTGCCTGCTACAACACGCATCATCTTCCTCTGTGTGTCCTTCTGTGAGGGAGAAATCTGTCTCAGACTTTGTTTAGCTCCTGCTCTCCAGCTGGGTTCCTGTAACTCCATGAAAAATGGGTCTTTACTACACCTCTTAAACAGAATGCCTGCAATTCTCCCTTCCTTCCAAGTGCAAGATCTCTGTAAGGCTTGAAGGCTCCTCTCAGCACAATACCTCAGCTCCAAAGAAAAGAACCAGACACATTATGTTTGCCCAGTACAACGTAAAACAGGTTGAACTTTTCTGAATGTGTTTTCAGTGCTTCAATTTCTAATAGCATTTTTGGCCAGAGTGATTTTAAAGTTAACATTTGCAGGCTTAAAATCTTAAAACTTTTTAAAAAGCTATTCTTGAATATTCGATTATGGGGTGGAGTTTGTTGTAAAAACTAGGATGGCAACATTTTTCCAAAAATGTGGCATTCACACAATTTTTCTTCCTCTGGGACCAAATCAATCTCTATCTCACCCATAGCTATACACATGGCTTTTATTTTTTTTTTAAAGAAGGGAAGGTTTTGTGTAGCTGTGATTTAACCACGTTCTCCATAGTCCTGAGATTATATAGAGCTTATAGAAGAATTTAAACAGAGATCTGAACTCAGAACAGAGACATCTGAACTAAAATAATAAAACCAGTTCCATTTGCAAAATGCTACTCAAGTTGAAATGAAACATTTGACTGACCCAACTTCAGAGCCCCAGTTAGGTGTCTTATCTGTAGCAGTTGCTTGGGCTCCCTCTATAGGGAATGGAAAAAACTCCAAACAACAGTTGTGATGCAAGTCTCCAGAAATGCCTAAGTCAGATCTAACTTTTCCTGAGAAGATTTGCCCCATGGAGATGCAAATCTCTGTCATTATCTATGGCTGCACGTGAACAAGATGTCCACTTTTTAAATGGCCAAGTGCAATTAACTCAATTTCTGCTGTAGCCTGCAGAGCCAGACACCTGAGGACTGCACAGTGGCACAGGGAATGCAGCTTAAATCCCTCAGTACCATGCACTGTAGCCACTGATGAGCCACTACCAACCCAGGATCTGTATTTATAGAAAGCACATCATCTCAAGGTACTTCATAAGGCTTCACTTTCCACCCACAGTTCTTGTCAAACCCAGTGGTATCCCATTAAGTACTTTTTTTATCTTACAGATCTTATGTGTATAACCACCCTTGTCATCAAAAAAATTTCCCAAAGATGCAGAGAAATAGTTACCAGACAGCACCTCCCAGGCTTTGTGAGCCCCAGCACGAAGCTAAGAATCCCTCTTTACATTTCTTGAAAATTGTACTACAGGGATGGTAAACCCATTCCTGGAAAGCTTAGGAAAACATATTTTCCCTTCAGACAGAAACATTGTATCTCTTGTTTATACTTTCTTGGGAAAAAAGTTTTGGCCTGGTGATTGGTTTTGAAAATTTCTCGTCAAAACATTTATATTCTCTGTATTCTCAAGGATCAGCCATTTGATCTATGGCTGGAATGCTCTAAATATATCTAATTATGTGGTCACAGCATCTCAGCCTGACATCCTGCCAGAAGGCCATGGGTTTTAAGTTAAACAAAGCACTGCACAAAGAGCTGGGAGAATTCCTGAGCAGAGCACAGGCTGGGCAGCAGCAGGAGCCCAGGTACAGTAACACCCTCCACGGCCCCAGCTCTTCCTGAAGGACTCCCCACTTACAGCAGAAGCATCAGACAGTCATCTACAAAGAACTGCCACATCTTATCCACCATAAAACCACCCAGAGTCTTGCTCCACTGCTTCCCTGAGATACTGCTGGTGGATAATATTAAATTCACTTCTAGAGCACAGTGTAACTGTAGTTAAAAAAACAACATTCTTTCAGTTTGATTTGCAATAGTTCCTAAACAGCCTCCTTGCTTGTATCCTGTTAATTAGGAAAGCCAATTAATGCTTCCAGTAGTAACAAAAATGAGTATTCAGTTTAAACCCCAGAAAAGGACTCAATGAAGATGTGCAGTCTGAAGAGCTCAGCAGATGCAGCTCTGCTCTTACAGAGAAGTTCTCACACTGAGTTTGTCACAACTGACTACACCAGCTTCATTTATTGAACAAATCTTTGGCTGAAGCTATGCAGGCAAATCATACTGCAGCTTCCACAGGTTAAAGGTCTTTAAAGTATAGTTCCAATGTACTTAAAATGGACCAAAGGGGTTGAAAAACAAGCATGAGAATTTGTAGTTCTCTTAATGAAGGAGAGCTTTGATATTAAGTTTCACAAACCCATAAACCTATAATGATGTATTACATGACAAAAGAAAACTCTATTTTACTTGTAGCACAGAAGGAAGATTATAGGAAGATGGGATAATATTTCAAAAATTCACTAAACAGATGAGAAAGGCATGATAGGAATCCTCAACATATCAACAAGCAACCCTCTGACAATGTTTTCACAGAGGTATTTATTCATATACACTACAGACAATTTTTGAACTCTCAACTACAGTCCAAAATGTCCCTTTGTAAATTTAGTGTAAACCTATTATAAGCTAAATAAAATGAAAAGAGTGCATTTTGAAATACTCTTCCTCATTAAGGGCTTTCCTCTGGCAAACTGCAACCACCAGCTATTCTGAAATTATTCCCAGGAAAATCTAAGCTCAGACTCTCACAGCTGAAGCCCAGCTTAAAAAACCTAATGACCCTTTCTGACATCACAGATTTACTTTTCTATCACACCCCAATTTAGGTTTTAAAATCTAGTACTACCTTGAATAGTTACAAGCTTTAACATAGCTTCTAGGTGTTCTTTTTCAGAAGCTGTAGCTTGATGTAACCAGGCCAGCATGTCTCCCACGTACCTAAATAAAGACAGAAAATTCTATGTAAATCAGCAGCTTATGGTGTCAGGGGCTCAAAGTGCCAAGGAGGATGAGTTCAGGTATGTTCTTGCCAGCACTGTACCTCAGAGGGTCATGGGAGTGCATTTCGATGGGGCGGGGGGTCCCTCCCAGGCCTCCTCTGGTCAGAGCATCTATGAAGCCCCTGACCACAGCACTCCTCCTGGCTGTTCCAAACTCATCCAACGTGTACCTGTTGTGGAGACAGCAAAACAGGCAAAAGAAAAGGGTTCACCTCATCACACACTATCAGCTCTGCTGCACAGCTTTACAGTGGTAGAAATCTTGCATCAATGAAGCTTTTATCACATCTGATCTCCTTGATTCCACTAAACAGATGTTAAGATAACTTTTCCTTGACCCTCCCATTCCCTTACCCCACACAAATAAATAAATAAGTGGAAAATCAGCTTTTCAATTGTACATATAAGCATGTCTTGACAGCTCCAGCTGACTGACAGAAGCAGCAACTCGCTGCACTAGGACATAAGGCTTTCTCCTTCTTCTAGGCTACCACATGACTGGTAGCAAAAAAAATTCATTTCATTTTCCAGTTGTTCAATGGTTTTGATCACATGAGTCTTAGTTAGGTATTTACTGGATGGACAATTACAGCCCAGAGTGCATAATCTCAAATGGATTGCTGATAGTGGAGGGGACTGAAGCACAACAGCATGTGAAGGATGGGACATGAACACTGCTAACATCTCTGTTCCTTCTGCTGAGAAACAGGATTTTTGCAAGCCATGGAACACTTCTGGTTTTGGTTTTTAATTTAAGCATTTTGAACAAAATGCTGAGGAGAAAAAGAAAATACACATGATGGTTTATTTTTCCAATATAACTGAAGAAATGCCAAAGATGGTTTTGGGGTTTTTTTTTTGAAAAAACAAATTTAAGCATTTTGAACAAAACACACAAAATACTGAGGAGAAAAAGAAAATACACATGATGGTTTATTTTTCCAATATAACTGAAGAAATGCCAAAGAGTAAGCATGGTGTCACTTACCAATGACACCCAGCAGCTGAATGGATAGAAAAATAATAATAATAACAAGCATGTTACTCAGTGAAGTTAAATGAGTACTGCATTCACAATTAACAGATGTGGAGAACAAAATACAAAAGAAAATCATGTACTGTTTCAAGTTATGTTCCAGGTTAAGTTCAGTGAGATTCTATTATGCAATAAAAAGTCCACAGCAACCTTCAGTTCTGCTCTTTTACATCCACATTACTACTGGAGGGGGGAAAGCATACTAAAGAATCTGGAAATTTGTTTAAGTCTTTTTCTTCATACACTGTACTTTTTAACTCAGAAACTAAATATTGACAACTTAAAAAAAAAATTAATTAAAAAAGTCCTTAATAAATTACTATTTACAAAAATTATGCAGTTAAAAGCAGGAAAGATCTGGGACCTGCCAACTACCAACAGTACAGGAGTGAGAAATCTCAAGTGTCTGCAGAAACCAGCTAAGCTTTTTTTTAATCCTTCCAATAAGCAGCAATATAATAGATCATTAAGGATACAGCAGTGAAACAGATCTTGTGATCTTGCCATGAGTTTTGAAAACAGCATTTAATAATGATCATTTAAAAAAACCAAACAAACAACTACTAATTTTCCTTTCCTCTCAGTAGAATAGGGCATAACTACTACCAAATCCTTAAAATACATACTAATAACTATTATTTACCCTAGAAACACAGTATTTACTACTATGTTATTACACATACTCATGTTAGGG